AAAAAAAAAAAAAAATGTCTTACATGGCTGTTTTCTGTGTGTGGTGTAGAACTCAGCTTGGCTCCTGCTGATTAGCTTGCAAATTAAATTGCTGTGCTGTATGTAAGAAAAATGGCAGCTTTCATCACTTCCTTATCGTGGATTAAAAGACGCTGTCATGTTCTTAGTGGAAAAAAAAGCTAATTTGACAATGAAAATGAACTTTCTTTTATTTTCCAGATGGTAAATGTGTTACAGTGTAGCAGCAAATTATTACTGGCTTTTTTAAAACAGAGTGCATACCCTGCCTTTGCCCTACATATGCTCTTTGAATCTATTATTTAAAAAGGCATTCAACTTTGTCTTGTATCTCAGTTCTTAAATAATTTAAGAATACTTCTGACTTGTACAATTTTTGCCTTTGTAGTTTTTGATGTCTTTTCCACCTAAGAAAGCTTAACATTTCTAGGTATTGGGCAGAGTTTAAAATAAAGAAAATATTTTACCTATTACCTTCCCACAAGGAAGCCTATAAGTAGGCCTGATCAGAATTTATCAATTTAAGAAGGCCATAACCAGCCTTAAAGGAGACATGAAGGAGGCTGATAATTTGCTTAGTGTTTAGCAGTTAGGGAAATCAGGCCATTGATTGTATAGCCTACATAAATCCTGGGCCATTTGCATGTCCTCACCAGCTCTCAGTAAGGTCACAGTATATTCGATTATCAAGAGTCACGGCCACTGATGAGCCATCATCCGTATAGCAGGATCTCTTGTCCTCTTTATTATCAAGACTGAAAGCAGCTCAGAAGCAGTTCCTGTGTAGCTTGTTTTTCCTAAACTTAGAAAGCCATCCTCCTTCTGTTGGACAGGTGAGCATTTTAAAGGTTCCTAGTATCCAGTTAGAAGAAGAATCATGGCTCAATCTGCAGGAAAGAAACATGGCTATACGGAGTCACTGCCTTACATGGACACAGTATGCATCTATGAAGGAAGAGTCTGTCTTCAGGGAAAGTATGGAAAATCCAAACTGGTAAGATCACCTCTGTGTGTGTGTGTGTGTATTTAGGGTGCAGGGATGTACACATGAATACGTATATTAAAAAGCTTTGGTTCTATACTTACGACTTCTGTTTATAACTCACACAAATTCCACATTATTAAATTTTAATTACAGAAAAAAATAAAAGAGTATATTTTCCTTTGGAAGGAAAAAGATAGAGTTTAATTCTTCTCTGACCATCCCTTCCAGTTCTGGTGTCTTCACACCAGACAGACGAATATTATCAGTTTGAATAGTCTTACAGATCATACAACAGAGTCCTCAGGTATTGGCATATGTAGTTATTAAGCCTGTGTAATATGGTTTTATATCTCTTTTTACATGGTTTTATGCTGTTTAAATTATTGGGAAATTTTCCTTTTCACTTAAAAATTTCTGAGCTTTATTCATTGGAGATTATATATATATATATATATATATATATGTATATATATATATATATACACACACACACATGAATCTTGCTTACTCTTTTGTATTGTAGTATAGGATTCAATCATATGACTACAGGACATTTTATCAATAGACATTCACATGGCATCTTTTTATTACAAACAAGAGCATAGTACTCTTGAGACTTATGTTGCTTATATATAACACTTAATCCTTTGAGTGTTTCTCTAGGGGGAATTTTTATTTATTTATTTTATTTTTATTTATTTTTCAGTTGATAGTTTAAAAGGATTTTATTTTTATCCCCATTAACTTTATTGGTACATTTAAAGGAAACAGTACAGTTACATTTATCATTGTGATCTTGTACCTTTACATGATATGTCTTGGTTCTTGTTTTTCCCCATACCCTTGCCCTCCCTTCACCTACTGCACCCTTCCCTATTTACAAAGACTTTGTTTCCATTTTTCCATTTCTTCACAATTTTTCTTTTCCCTTATTTCCTTTCCCCTCCCCTTCCCATTTCCCTTTAGCCATTTTCTTCCCATTTCACTCTCCCAGTTATATGTAGGTGGAATTTTCAAATTAGGTTGTTGAGATCTTATTTGCATACAGTAAAATTTACTCTTCTTTGTAAAGCTCTGTGAATTTTAAGAAAAATATACAGTTGTATCACTGTTGCCACAATTCAATTATTGGACATTTGAGGTATTCTTTTTTTTTTTCATACCAGAGATTGAACTCAAAACCTTGTACTTGCAAGGCAGGTGGCAGAACCACTGAGCCAAATCTCCAGCCCCATTAGAGGTATTCTTTAAAAAGTTGTTTATTATAAGACAATTCAATGGGGAAAGCCACTTCCACATATGGTTATGGAATAACTGAATATCTACATATAAAAAATTAAGTTTGACCCCAACCTCATACCAAATATAAAATGAACTTAAAATGAATCAAAGATATAAATGAAAGAGTTAAAACTGTAAAGCACTTAGAAGAAAACTTAAGTGTAAATTTTTTGTGATCTTAGATTAGGCAATGGTTTCTTAGATACCAGAAGCCTAAGCAATAAAAGGAAAAAAATAGATTTTATTAAAAAATTTTTGTGCTTCAAAGGTCACTTTTTTTTTTTGAAACAGGATCTTGCTTTGTAGTGTACGCTGGCCCAGGATAGCCTCAGATTCAGCAATCCTCCTGCCTGTGCCTACTGAGAGCTGGGATTACAGGTGTGCACCACCATGCTCTGCCCTTAAAAGAAAAAAAGAGCATGGGAGAAAACCATGAGTTTGCAAACCATGTATCTGATAAAGATCTAGTCCAGAATATTGAGAAAACTGTTACAACTTTATAATGAAAACGTCCAATTTTAAAGATAGACAAAATATTTCAGTAGACATTTCTCAAAAGAAGATACACCAATAGCTAATATTTGCTTGAAAAGCATTCAACACCAGTAATTTTTTTTTTTTTGTACCAGGGATCGAACTCAGGTCCTTGTGCTTGCAAGGCAGGCGTCGGAACCACTGAGCTAAATCCCTGGCCAACACCAGTAATTTTTAAGGAAATGTAAATGAAAACCACAGAGAAATACATTTCATACCTATTAAGATGGCTATAACTAGACACATGACTATAACTAAATGTGGAGAACCCTGTTACTGGTAGAAATACAAAATCACGCAGCCATTGGGGAAAATAGTTTATCAGTGCATCAAAACTTAATCACAGCATTATCATTTGGCTTAGCAATTCTACTCCTTGGCATATACCCAAAAAACATGAAGACATGTCTATACAAGAACTTGTATAAAAATCCTTATGGCAGCTTTGTTTATAGTATCCAGAATATGGAAACAAGTCAAATGTCCACCAGCCAGCAAATGTAGTGTATCCATTAGATGGACTGTTGTGCAGTCATTGAAAGCAGTAGCGTGTGGAATTATGTTACAACATAGAGGACCCTTACAAATCTTATACTGAGTTATGGAAGGGGGCTATAAAAGGCTATGTTTACTTGAAATGCTCAGAATTGGCAAATCTATACAGAGAGGAAGAAGACTAGTGGCTGCCATGGCCTAGGGGAAAAGGAGAGTGGACAGTGACTCTTGATGAGTGGGGAGTTTTTTTTTAGGGAGAATGATGAAGATGTCTTGAATTAGTGTTGATAGTTGTGTGACTGAATATTCTATATCCCACCGAATTGTACACTTTAAAGGGTGAAATTTATGGTATGTGAATTATATCTCAATTTTAAAAGTTAAAGGGTTGGTTCTCATTACATAGTGTCTTAGTTTGTGCTATAATAATAATAATAATAATAATAATAATAATAATACCATAAGCTGGGTGGCTTAAACAGCACACATTAATTTTGGATGGTTCTGCAGCCCAAGAAGTCTAATATGTAGGCATTGCCAGTCTGGGGACTGGTTAAGTATCTGCTTCTTAGTTTGTAGATGGCTTCTGTCTTCCACTCTATCCTTACATGGTGGAGAAAGTGAACTCTAGTCTCTTTCTCTTATAAGAGCACTAATCCTATGATTGGGGCCCCACCCTCATGACTCAGGTAAATTTAGTTAATTTCAAAGGCTCATAAAACACCATCCCTACTTAGGGTTAATGTTTCAACATGGTTGGGGGTATAGCTCAGTGGTAGAGTACTTGCCTAGCATGAGTGAAGTCCCGGGTTTGATCCCTAGTACTATCCCCCAACACACACACACACATGCCCAGACTGCCCACACACAGCTTTAACATATGAGTTTGGGGAGGGTATAGGGATGCAATCCATTACACATCCTGCCATATTTTCTTACAGTGTGTTACTATACTAGCTTGCGCTCATACTGCCAGAGAGTGTTCATTTTCCTACAACATGGTAAACACTATTAGCATGCCCCTTAATTTTACCAGTATAATCGATGAGAAATGATTAATTTTTGGGAGATATATTTCCCTCCCTCCCTCCTTCCTTTACTCCCTCCCTTCTTTGCTTCCTTCCTTCTTTCCTTCTTATCCATCCATATTTTCCCTCCCCCACCCTGTCTCTTAACTCCAATGGCACAAGATGATTGAGGTTAAGTATAAAGACTGTGGCCAGAGAAGAAAGTTCTTTCTTCTATATGTGAAAGTAGTGAAAAGGTAGACTTTTTTTGATTTTATGGCAAAAATATCTTTCATTTCATCTGCTTTATTTTAGCTTCTTTTTTGGGGGCAGATGTTGGCTAGTCTTAAAAGCTGAACTGAACCTTTATCTATTATAGTAAAATGATAATTAGCCCTGAGAATCCAGAGAAAAAAATCCTTTAGAAACCTTTTTACTTTGTATGCTTTTAAAAAATTAGTTTTAAAAGTCATTCTGATTTTGGGAATAAATGACATAGGCTTATTGTAAAAAAAAAAAAAATTCTGAAAAAAACTCATACTATCTACTCACATAATTTTTTTGGTTTATTCCTAATTAACGCTTAGGTTGTTTCTGAATTTTTGGCTGTTCCAAACAGTGTTGTAATGAAAATTTCTGTGCTTATATGTTTTCTCAATTTAAGATAGATTGGGTAAAACAGGATTTTTGTTTTAAAGGTCCATGTGCATTTTATATTTTGGCATCTCTGGCCAAAATCCTTTATAAAAAGATGTGAACAGTTACACCTTCTTTTTCTTCTTTGGTCCCTTATGTTCTAATCCTCTCCAGAAGACTTACATCATTGACACAGCAAGCTAATCCCCACTGACTCCTCCTTTGTCAAGGGCAGAGCTGTATTTGTCAAGGGCAGCATTTGAGGTTCAAGTTAAGTAACTTGCTCCAGGTGGTACATTCGGTCAGCCGAGATGTGAAGCCAGGGGTCCTAACTCCCACCTGAACAAGTGGAGAGCAAAGAATATGGAAATGTATGGATGATGATGGGCTTTTCTCAGACTGTAGGGCGCTTTGGATCCCCAGCATAGGCAGTGGGCTTTGTCTTTTCAGGAGCACTCAGCTAGGGGAGGTTTCTGAACCAGAGAGGATGTGCAGAATGCTGTGATCTGAATTCCAGAGTATTTTCCTTAGCTCTCAACGTGGATTTAAAGGCATTTAGGCAGACATTCTAAATGAATGGGAAATTTGGGAGTTAGAATATGGGGCATCCAAAAAAGAAAGACACATTATTATGTTTATTTTCTTCCTTTGTGAGGAGAGTAAGGGCCAGTAAATGCAGCCTGAAGATGAAATACAGACAGCTTTTCTTTTTCCCCCAAAGGAAAACAAAAAACAAATACCTATTATGGGTGCTGAGCCTAAAATTAGGCTTTCACTCTGTGTGTCGATTACAGGTGCGGGTGTGTGACCAGAAACCAGATGTTACTCTGTCCCTGCAGAGCCTGTTGGCTCCTTTTCAGAGCTGGGCTCAAAAAGGGTTTTCTATAGAACTAACTAGCCTTGTTCTTTGTCTCCCTGTAGCAATCCGATTTCAGCTTTCCACAGACCTCTTGGCAGTTGTGGAGAGAACTACATTATCCCCAACCTGCTTCTGCCCCAGCCACACTCTCAGACAACTGGGTATTTCAAATATGCTTTCTTCCTTTACTAACTGCTTCTGACGTTTTCCTCCTGTAGTTTTTAATATAATCACATATATAATTATATATAATTTATAT